AAAGATCCCTAAAACACAAGCAAGGCTGGGCAAATGACATAGTTGAATTGACATATGCTTCATAGAAAGTGATTAAAAAAGGAACTTTGACCATTAGAGCTTTCTCTTTGGTATTTTAGGATGGTAAAGACTACATCCCACTCAATGCCATACTAACAAGAAACAGTGGGTTTACTTACTCAACTCCTACTTTCTCTGAGGACTTTTTCAAGGATGGTGTTACTGCTTCAAAGTTTAATTCTGGGAGTTCTGATGATGTGAGGTGAGATTTTTGTTCCCCGATTTTATTACAGAATTTTGAGAGGAAAGAGAAGGAAGACAGAAAGAGGAAGAGAGGAAGGAAGCGGAGGAGAGGGGGAGGGAGGACAAGGGAGAGGGAGGAAGGAAAGGAGGAATAAACAAAAGAAAGAATTGGGTACCTCTACCTCTTCTACTTCCTAAATCCAGTGATGGTTAATATTTTCCCATGTTTGGTCTGTATAGTCTACAAGCTTTAGGTGCTTTCTAAACTTAAAGAAAAAAAGAATGAGCAACACATTGCATTTTCTTAAGTTCCTTTATCTTATTCTAGAACCATATTCCCATTTTTCTCCCCCATGACATTAACTTTGATTAAACCTTACATAAAACTAGTCAGATGTGGCAGCTCATGCCTGTAATCCCAGCACACAGGAGGCTGAAGCAGGAGGATTGGTACAAATTGAAAGCCAGCCTGGGTTATAATGCTAGTAGACAGGTCGATATAAAATGTATCTGATCGTCATAGTTACAGAAACATATGCTGGGGTCTGGTGCTGTGCCGACTTTTTGTATATATTAACTCCTTTCATGTTCAAAACAATCCTATTAAGTATATATTATTTCTTTAAACAGATAGGGACTTACTGTCTCCAAAGAGGAGAACTTACCTCAACATGTGGCTACCAAATAACAGAATCAAGTTTCTAACCCAGGAATATTGACCTTCTGTTTAGGTCCCTATGCAGTCAGGGCCCTTTTAGGACTGTCAGGTTGTCCTGTGGGCCTTCTAGCATCTTTACTTCTAGTGGGCACAGCCCTCCAGATTGACCTCGATTCTGCCACCAGGGGAGGCATAGGAAGGAGATGCAGCAGTTAGAAAACATCTACAGTCATCTCTGACAATCTGTGAAGGAATCCAGAGGGGAGCCCAGAGCTATGAGGGTAACAGGAGAGCATCACTGCTCATGCCTGACATCCAGCCCAACAGGCCAATGCAGATGAGTCACTCAGTTTTAAAGATGAGAAAACTAGCTTGGAGTAGATACTCTGGAAAGGCCTGAATGAATTAGAGATGGAGTGGAGGGTGACAAAGTCCTTCTAGTATGCTGCTTAGCCACAGGCTCAGTAGGTAGATAGCCTAGGAACTTGGGCCTTGCAACAGACTATCAGACTGCAGGATTTAACTAACGAGTAGCCTATGAGTAGCCATCCTGTGAATATACCTGATGGTATTCCCAATAAATCATCAACAAAAACTGACAGGTGGTAACAGAGAAATCTTGCAAATACCATTCAATTCTTCCAGTTGTAATCAAGGTCCAGAATATACGAGACAGGCCCTACACTCAATTATGCAATTAAATCAGCTATGAAGCCTTGACAGAACATTTTATTTGTCACGCCACATCCTTTTAGGAAGTAGACAGCAATAAATGATAAGATAAAGTCATATCACTTCCTGGGGCATCGTGTTAGTCTCTTGTTTGTGTCACTGAGGCCAGATAAGATCCCAAGGTTCCTCTAGGCCTGATGTTTTCTGATTCTACAGGGACCTGGAGTGGTTCCTTCTAGGACTTTTCTGAAAACTATGAAATGTGAATTGACAACATTGGGGGAAGTGGCATCGCCATGAGAATTCCTAGAGGTTATGCAGGAAGCTGAGTGACGGGGGTGAGAGAGTCAGTGTTTTAGCTTGTTAGCTGGGATATACATTTCTGTGATCTTCTGATTAATCAAAGGTGTGTGTGCATTTTTTCTGTCTTGATTATTCTGCTTCTTCATTAGATACGTAAATGCTTTCAAATTCATGAGCCTGGAAAGAATCAAAACCTTTGAAGAACTTTCACCAAATGCCACTTCCATGTTTGATGTAAGTCATGATACTAAACTACCCAGCATACCCTGCCAAAAACTTTTTTCCTGACTCTGTTCAAACACCAACCCCAGGCAGTGCTTGATCAGTGAAGGCCAGTGATAGGTACAGGATGAAATTACAATGTCAGAGGAAGAACAGGCTTCACTGTGCAGAGATTATTTGAAAATAGAATTCCATGGTTTGAAAATCACCCAGAGTTCACTCCATGACCCATCTATCCCACCAGCTTCCCAGGGGACTCATGTGCTTTTACCCTAGAATTTCTTCTAGGTGCCAGCTATAGTGGCACATGCCTTTAATAACAGCACCCGGAGGTAGAGGCAGGCAGATTTCTCTGAGTTTGAGGCCAGCCTGGTCTACTTACTAAGTTCCAGGCTAGCTAAGGCTATATAGTGAGACCCTGTCTCAAAAAAAATGTTTGTTTTCTAAGCTATCGGTGTTGCATCCTTCTTTCAATGCAGAGGAACTCCTAGATGTGTGAATGGTTGGGCATTGTGATGCAACAGAAGCTTTGTGATATAGTTTGCTTGGGGCCCCTTCGCCCTAAGGTTCTGCATGGTGAGCAGCCATGTTCCCACTCAGATACACTGGAAGCACAGCCTGGCAACAAAAGGCTTCTTCCATCAACATCTCTCTTTGAAGCCCCAGAATGGGTTGGAGTTAGGGGGCAACGGCTGTGTAGGATAGCACTTCTGCGTGGCCAACACTTGTGCTCCAAGTAGGCACTCTAAGCACAGTGCCCCAATCCAAGAACAGTGGCCAAAACCCTGGCACTGACCATGTCCCACAACGGTCTGGAAGGCCAACCCCACCAGAAAGGTGATCATCATTCATGTGACTTTGACACAAACACAGTCACCCTTAAAAACCACCTGATCCTCATCAGATACAGAAGATAAAGAATAGGGTGACTTCAAAATACAGACATTTAAAATTTAAGCTGCAGAATAGCATGGTACATAGATGGAAATGTTACGTTGTGGCTTGGTAGGGTGGTTCAAGTCCAAAGATCAATATTAAGCAAACTTTGGCACTTCTCAAGCTTAGTGCTAAGGTTAAAACATGATGAATGATGACAGCTTCCTTGCTTGCTGAGCTCTTTACTGACATTTAAGTAGTCCAGTAAGAACCTCAGGGGGAGGCAGAGACAAAGTGTGGAGTTCACTTCCACTTGATAGAATAAACCATAGGAACAGAATAGGGAAGAGAAGCCATAGAAGTCCATGATGACTCAGTGACATTCATTCCTGGGAACTCTGGTCAAGGAGTGCCCGAAAATTCCATAGACTCTCCAAGAAACAATATTCAACCACCACTTTATAATTTCCTAGAATTTTTACATATATATATGGCTTTACATATTATGGTTATACCCATAACCAACCCTCTAGACTAGTTTTAATATATCTAGATGATGATCGTTTTCAAAAGTTTCATATGGAAAATACTAATCTGTTACATGTAGTTTTCCCTTGTGTGTGTGTTGTTTATATGTGTGCACATGTGTGTGCATGTTTGCTTATCCATGAGTGTGTGTGTGGAGTACAGAAGTCAAGGTTGAAGGCCTTCCTCTATTGCTTTCCAACTTAACTTGTTTTTCTTGAGATGGGGTCTCTCACTGAACCTGGAGCTCATTGTTTTAGCTAGTCTGGCTGGGCAGTGAGCCCCAGGGATCTAACTATCTCCATCTCTACCTTGAACTTCAGGGCTGGGGTGAAAGGCATGTACGACCATGCCTGATGTTTTACATGGGTGCCGAGGCTCCCATCGCAGGTCCTCATGCTTGCACAGCAAGCACTTTGCCTCATGGTTTTTCTTTTTGTTTATTTACTTTACCTTCAGGACGGGCCTCAGAGTCACTTGGAATAGGCATTAATTGTCACTGAAGTACTGACAGTTGCCATCAGGCAGGGATTGTGGAAGGCAGCACCTAGTATCACCTCAGAGGTGCCTCTTAGTATCACTCCAGAATCACTGTAGACAACCATTCTGAGCCAGGCCAATGTATAATCTTCTTCCCTGCAGGATTATCAGTTGGACAGGAGCACACTGCTGGCCTCCCCCTTCCTGAAGCGATTTACTTGGACCGAGAGCAAGCCCAAGGCCTCAAAGATTGAGTAAGAAAGCAGGGCATCTTTCCTATAATGGGGGAGGGGATGAAGGAAGATGCCAGGGAAGATGGCTTAATGAGGATATTTAAGGCTACTAGTGTTCAGGCATTATAGAAAAGCATTTCCCCCTAAAGGGCAAGAAATGGGGTACACTGGACAGATGAACACCAGGCTCTGTGAGAAGAAAGACTGGGGCTTAAGTGGGAAAACAGGCAGGAAGTTCTAGCACCAATAGGCAGGCAGAGCCTGAGCAGCACAGGACCTCAGCAGAAAGGAACCTGATGCACCCAGCTGTGACCAGAGGGATGGGGATGTGTCAGGGGCGCTTGAGACAACACACCTCATTTTTGGTCCCTGGGCTAGCCAGAGTACAAAGAATCACAGTACTGTTTTCTAGGTCTAAAACATGCTACCCTGAGAACTCAACCTTCTATATGCAGAACTTTCTCACAAATTTCTCCACAAACCGCTGGCTTGATCCATCAATTAGCCCCTTCTATTCTGAGCCACTGCTGTTAGAATTATGAGGCTCTTGCTGTATTTTCCACTGGGATAGGTGGCCCTTGTAGTTCTTTACGCTAGATTCTACTTAGATAGTGCTTAGATAGATGAGAAAGTTTGGGCCTACCTACTTTCCTTCCTTCCTTGCTTTCCCAGTTCAATGCCTGGCCTTCTCATCCAAAGGCAGGACCTGTTTCTCTTTCATCTAAATCAGGATTCAGCAGACTTTCCTCAAAGGAGCAGATAGTAACTGGCCACCTGTGCCCTTACAGTACACAGCTGCCAGAGCCATCACATAAACAAATACCATGGCCATGTCGCATTAACAATTACAGGTGCGCACATAGTCATTGAGTATAGGAAAAGATGCTCAGCATCATTAACCATCAAGGAAATGCCAATCCCAACCACCAAGAAATCATTTGACACCAATAAAACTGGCTAAAATTGAATGTATGCTGACTGAACATTGTGTGGTAGTACACATCTGTAATTCCAGCATTCTGGAGGCAAACACAGGAGGATTGTGAGTTCAAGGCCAGCATAATGGGTTATATAGCAAGATAGTCTCTAAAAATTGGGAGGGGAGGTCTGTCAGTGAGCATGGTGGGAAATGGGATTCTTCTCCACCACTGTAGAAGTAGAAAGCGGTACAGTTACTTTGTTACTTTGCAGTTACCAGATGATCCAGCAATTCCATTTCTAAGTGTATACCCAAGAGAACCCATATCCAGTCCAAAATTTGTACACAAACATTTGTACCAGCACTACTCATAACAGAAGTAGAAATAATCTAAGTGCCCATCATTTGGATAAATAAAATGATATAATTCTACAATAGATATACAATTGGATTTGTCAGTAAAAAGAGTAAAGAACTGACACATAACAGAAAAACCTGAAATATACTCAGTAAAAGAATTCATTCATAAAATATCACAGTCTATGATTGCTCTTAAGATGAAATACCTAGAATAGACACATCTAGAGGGTAAAAGTGCATGAGTGGTTGCCTAGGGCTGGTGTTTTAAGTGTAGGAAGAGACTGCTAATGGCTAGGGGTTTGGGAGAGTGGTCACAACATTTCTAAGTTGTGGTGATGAGTCCACCTTTGTATATATACTTACCACTCAGCTTAGCATTACTATAACAAAATATCTGAGATAATTATAAAGAGAAAAGGGTTATTTGGGCTCAGAATTTTAGAGATTCCAGTTCAAACTCGGGTGAACTCATTGCTTTGGGCTAGATGGCAATGGCAGCGAGAATGTGGCCAAGTGAACTGGTCACCTTGTGACCAGGGAGCAAGAAGAGGAGGAAGGGGCTCTAGCCACACAGTTTCCTTTGAGGGACTGTCCCCAGTGACCTAGGGGCCTCCCACCAAGCCCCACCTCTTAAAGAGTCCACTATCCCCTAATACTGTCAACTCAGGGGACCTTTTGGGCATCATTTAAAATCCAAACTAGAGCAATACTGAAAACTACTGACTTGAACATTTTAAATAAGTGAATTGTGTCATATGTAAGTAATATCTAATAAGATGTCTCTCCTTTTAAAAACAAAACAAAATAACAGATTGCTTGCCTATAGGCTGCAGTTTATTGACCTATGATCTAAATCAAAAGATGGTTCAGAAGCTGGAGAGATGGCTCAGCAGTTGAGAACACTGGTTGTTCTTGCAGAAGACCCAAGTTTGAATTCAACAGCCTCTTCTGACCTCTGCGGCCATTGCATGACATGGGTGCACTTACCTACATGCAGGCAATACATGCATACACATAAAATAAAAATAATAAAATTTTTTTAAAAAGATGGTTCAGGGGACTGGAGAGATGGCTCAGCCATTAAGAGCACTGGTTGCTCTTGCAGAGGCTCCAGATTCAGTTTCCAGCACCCACATGGCACCCACATGGAGGCTAACAGCTGTCTATAACTCCAGTTCCAGGGGTCCAATGCCCTCTTCTGGCCTCCGTAGGCATTGCACACACATGATGCATTTACAAGCATGCAGGCAAAACACTCATATGAATCAAAAAAATCAAAGGATGGTTCAAATACCTCCAAGTGATGTATAATCCATCAAGTCATTGGAAAGACAAGGACACTTGCAGGCCAGCTTCTGCATTTTCCTTGTAATACAAGCTCACCAGTGGGCCCAGGGCTGCGGTGGCAGATTGGGGGACACCAATCTGGATAGAAGGAAGAAGCAGAATAACTACTCTTTTGTTTCTTATTTTGGAACACACTGAGAAATGGGTAGGTAAGCTGTGTGTGGTGGTGTACACCTTTAATCTCAGCCCTTGGGATGCAGAGGCAGCCAGATCTCTGTGAGATCAAGGCCAGCCTGGTATATGTAGCAAGTTCTAGGCCAGCTCGGGCTAAAAGGAAACCCTGTCTCAAACACACACACACAAAGAAAGAAAGAAAGAAAGAAAGAAAGAAAGAAAGAAAGAAAGAAAGAAAGAAAGAAAGAAAGAAAGAAAGAAAGAAAAAATGGAGGGTTACTTTTTTCTTCATTCTTCATCAAAGATGAAGAATAGAAAATCTCTAATTTGTATCCTGTTCTCTGAGATTAAAAATGTAGAACACAGTCATGCCAGTCCAGACCAGTCTAATTCATGTGATTCACGAGGCTCTCATCCCTCTACACCCCCTAAACAGAAATTTCAAATATTAAAGGACAGGAATGCTTTTTTCCCTCACCTGTTTTGCTGTGTGTAGCATACTGCGCTCTGTAACCATCATCTCCTACAACATAATCACAAGAGGAAATCACCTGTACTGACCTTGTGTGCAGCCCTGTGTTTCTTGAGACTATTTACAACATATGTGGTGACTTTAAGAGAAGGAATTTATTTCCTTGGGCTGCATGCAGTTCAGAGACTCTGGGGGAGAGTCTAGTCGTCGGCTTGTTCTCTCTCTCTCTCTCTCTCTCTCTCTCTCTCTCTCTCTCTCTATCCATCCATCCACACATTGCCTTCTCTCTGGATGGTTGCCTCCCCTCTGCCTCCATGCAATTGCATTAGCACCCTCCTGGATAATTCAGGTTGAGTACCTCCTCTCTAGACCTAAGTTAAACCATATATTACCATGGCATGATATGGGGGGGGGGCTTTCTTAGCTGACTACAGGAGCTTTTTGACTCAAGAGTAGGAGAGGGCTATTTCCCACATTGTGGAGTTGTTTCCATCTTGGAATCCTGGGATTGCACCATCTCATCATACATTCCATCCCCTGGCCAATGGCACACTTCCTGCCTAGCAACACACCAAGCTGGCTTGGGGGAGGCAGTGTGCATATTTAGAACAAAGAAAATCTGCCCAGAGACCAAGATGAGATTCTAGAATGGTGTGAACAGATGACCCACTAAGAGTGAGTTTAGTGATTTTGAGAAAACATTTCTTACATTTGTTTTTTTTTCTCCTCTCTCTCTCTCTCTCTCTCTCTCTCTCTCTCTCTCTCTCTCTCTCTCCCCCTCTCTAGCTTGAGAATAACGAGTAAAAGTAAGGAGTCGGGGCTTTCTGACGTCAGCAGGCCCAGCTTCTGCTTCTCCAGCTGTGGCCACATCAGACCTGTGCACGACTCAGAGCTGGAGAAGGATTCCTGCTGCTCTCCACCCCCAGACTACAACTCAGTGGTGTTATACTCCTCCCCACTTGCCTAATGCTTCACACTGCCTTCCTTCCAGAAGCACCCCAGAAAACTAGCTTCTGACAGTATTATACATATATGAGTTTACACTTATCTCTTTCCACAGGAGCCAGCTGCTTTTAGTGACTTTTAATAGTGCCTATTTTTTTTTTTTTTTTTTTTTTTTTTTTTTTAAAAAAAAAGACTAACAAGAATGTAACCCCAGATAGTGACAAGTGAGGAACACTACTGCTCGACCTCGTGTGACTCCCTGTGCTAGAGAAATCCTTTCTAAGCCCAGTGACTCACCTGCTCCAACCCCTGAGGCTTCAGGGCACATAAACCAGAGGGTACAGGCTATCTACTGGCCATGCCACACAGCATGGATTTTCATGCTCCCCTCTCCCTAATTCCTCAGGACCAGATGCAGTAGGGCCTTTAGCATCAAGGCATCATGTACGGGCTTGCTCGGTGTCTCTGGAGCCCTCTAGCGAGCTTTAAGACGCATAAGGAGAGGAAGAAAGGAAAATGGTGGTGGGGAAAACAAGAGGAGGCACTAGAGGAGGACATGGAGATTTGTCACGTGGGGAGGCTGCAGGAGAGGGATGGGCAATGCCACCTCAATGACTTCCCAGACCTGGCACTGGTTTTTAGGCACCTTGCTAGGAGGTGACAGGACAGACAGGAGGGGACATTTCCTGGATTCTGAGAGGCAAAAAATGACCAAGCTTTTTGGAACTATAGCAAATCTTCAAACTTTCTCGGTGAGACTGGTTCTGTACCTGTTACCATCCACAGCATGCTTTACGGCACCAAGGGTGGCATTCCTTTAGTGAAATATACTGCGAATGTAACTGAGCTTGTTGGCTTGAGCTTAGCATGTTGTCATAGGAAGCTAAGTGGTCCTGTTTGATTTATTGTGGTTGTCTACTGTTGGGCTCAAAGCCACATTTAAAAAAGCCAGATTCTGTTTCAAGTATTAATACACAGACAAGACACTTTCACATTATCCTGTTTTATACAGTTAGCTGTACAAGGAAGCTGGGGAGAATGAGACTCTTGAGAGGGTTTTCTCTATATCAAACCAAGACTGATGCAACTAAAACCAGAGTGGATGCTCCATGTATACCAGCCAAACCAATTCACAGAGAGTTGGGACCTCATGTTTCCCCTTTTACTTACTGTGGATTCCATCATCGCAAGCCAATCTGAGAGGACACAAGAGCATCAGCCAATGTTTAGCACTTTAGGCTCCTCGAGAGAAAAGGTGATGTGTAATTTATGCAAGATATTTCTACAGCTGGGACCCAGGACACCAGTTAATGAGCCATCAAAAGGAAAAAGAAATCCTATTTTCATCTGATTTGGACCTTGCCTAGGGTCTAAGGATGATGGGAACAGGGAGACAGGGTAGAAATGGGGAGACAGGGTAGAAAAGAGTGCCTACTCTCCAGTGTTTATACTGGCTCTGCTAGTGTTAGCTGCTCAAGATGTGGTCTTGCACATGCTGAAGCAGTCAGGGCTGTGCAGACAACTGTGAAGAGCTGCTTCTGGAGAGCAGTCATGCTTACTTTATGCTTGTCACTTCACCCTAGGACCCGAACTCTAAGGACCGGTAGAATGTATGCCTCCTTCCCTATGAACTACATTCTTTGTATGAAGAGACTGGAGGCTCAGCAGTCACAGTGAGGCAGCAGGCATCCATGGTGGCTCTTAGGGACTCACTAGCCAGGACAGAGAAGCAAGGAAGACCTTTCAACCAGGAACTCAATCAAGGCAAATCAGGCAGAATTAGAAGACTGGGGGGAAATCTTTGTTCTTTGTCTTTTTCCACCTGTACATGATCCACAGCAGCTGAGCAACAGTTTAAATTGGGCGACGATATGGAGGTTGAATGGAGAGAAATGAAAGACGTCAGCATTCTAGTTTTTTCAAATCAGATAAGGATCTAACTATTAGTGATAAAAAGAAAACCTTAGTTTTTCCTATATTTTGTTCTTAATAATCTAAATTCTTAATCTTTAAGAGACTTTAGTAAATACCCTTTTTCCGAAAGAAAAAAGAAAATCTATTGGCATTCTGTTACTCAGCTTAAGACTCAGGAACGGAGCCTACAAGTCCATCGGCTAAAAAGAATGGCTCCATCTGAGTCTTAAGGTAGGAAGGAAAATGGAGGCTTGTGATAACACATGCACCTAACTGCTGAGTACTTATTCATCAAAGCAGCATCAAAGTTAAATAAACCGTTTGCCATTTAAGATACAGATGGTTGGCCGTAAGGAAGAACAAATATTTCTCTCAGTGTTTGGGGTCATGTATGTGTGACAGTGGGGCTGAAACCTCAGGCAAGTCTAAGTTAGTCCAAGAGAGATGCTCAGGGGACAAATCTGTCCAGATCCTGAAAATGTTGCTTAGGTCTTTAAGCTATGCCTTGTTTCCCTGCCCATAAAGTCAAACATGAACCAGATACTTGCCAGCCCCATTGAACCTGAAGAAAGAAGGCATCTTTGACTGACAGTGACAGTAACTGTATGTATATGTGTGTGTGTGTGTTTGTATGTTTTGTGCATAACTATTTAAGGAAACTGGAATTTTAAAGTTACTTTTATACAAATCAAGATTATATGCTACAGATATAACTAAGACATGATCTGGTCCTACCTTTTAGTCATGATGAATGTATTTTGTATACTATCTTCATTTAATAAAATTAACTTTCAAAAACAAATATTTTCTGCATACTTTCCTTATAAGTGGGGGGGGGTCCTAGGTATCCCTAAGGGGTAGGGAGAACCAAGTGCTGGGCTATTTCATTAAAAATCAGTCATCAAGTTTGGGGTGTGGTGATATCCACCTTTAATCCCATCACTCCTGAGGCAGCAGCAGGTGGCTCTCCGTGAGACAGGGCCAACCTGGTCCAAATAATGAATTACAGGCCAGCTGGGGCTATAGAGAGACTCTGTCTTCAAGAAAAAAAAGGAGCAGGGGCTGGAGCAATGACTCAGTGGTTAAGAGCACAGGCTGCTCTTGCAAAAAACCCAGGTTTGACTCCCAGCACCCACATGGTGGCTAACAATCATTGCTAACTCCAGTTCCAAGGGATCTGATGCTCTCTTCTGACCTCCGAGGGCATTGTACAACATGAGTGCACTTATATACACACAGGCAATACACTTACATATAAAAAATAAAAATAATAAAATATTTATTTTTTTATTTTTTGGTGTTTTTGAGACAGGGTTTCCCTGTAGCCCCAGCTGTCCTGGAACTCACTATGTAGACCAGGCTGGCCTCAAACTCACAGAGATCCACCTGCCTCTGCCTCTACCTCCCGAGTGCTGGGATTAAAGGCATGCGCCACCACGCCCGGCAATAAAATATTTTTTAAAAAAAGAAAAGAAAAAGATCAGCTATCAAGGACAGCAGAAGATACTGTAAACATTGCTGAAACAAGGGCATGCACCACCACGGGTGCCACACAGCCACTGCCAAGGCTGCAATGGAAAAGCAAACTGCCATACGGCAGTGTACTACTGCCAGGGTCCTCTGCAACACAGAACTGATAGAATGAATATACACATTATTAAAAGGATTTATTAAATCAACTTATGCAATGTGGTCGAACTAGTCCAAGAACAGCTGTCTCACACTTGAGAGGTTGGGAGGCTGAGAACCATTTGCTCAGTCCTTGAGTCCTGGTGCCTCAGCAGCCTGAGTAGTCCAGCAATGGCTTTCCTACACTGGAGAAGCGGACAACCCTGGTGGTTTTCAGTTCCAACATGGCACTAAAGGCCTAGAGGATTTCTGGAAAGCTGCTGGTCTTTGGTCCACATAAGAAACCTGGAAAAACTGCAGCAACAGCGTCAGTAAGGGCAAGAGGGGGAGGCAAGAGGGAAAGCCAAGAGAGCCAAAGGCAAATAATTATTCTTCCTTTTTATCTGAGCTGGCGCCAGAAGGTGCTGCCCCGATGTGGGGTGGGTCTTTGCAAGATAATCAAGGTAATTCCTCAATTGAGGCTCCCTGCTCAGGTGATTTTAAGTTGTGGCAAGTTGACATTTAAAACCAACACTCCCAGGCAGGTTGGCCAGAAATTATGAGTAAGATCATGAACCCAGTGAAGCTCATGCCGAGGCTGCACCGGCTGCCTGAGACAAGCCTGAAATTACAAACAGGCAGTCTTCCACAAACGCTAATTTCCAGCTGATAATTATCACAATTACATGGTATGTGTATGTGCGTACATGTGGATTAGAGGCTACATGTGAGAAACCAACAAATAGGCAAAAAAAGCATAAAACTTAAGAAATTCCCTAAGGAAAGAGCTACAGCTAAGGAGTCTCCAATTTGGTGCTGTGGGCACATCCTAGAGGAGAACAAGGGGCAGAACTAGACAGGTAGCCAGGGTCTTAGGGAGTGGCTATGCGGGGAGCCTGCCTGACCCGTCTGGGGAAGCTAGCTTAGAGAAACACAACGGGGAAAGTTAGACCTCAGTTCATGGAGACAAGGAAAAGGGGGTAAATGACCAATCCCAGTAAATTGTAGTTAAATGCAGAACAAGAGGCATTCTGTCTTCAAGAATCTGAAAGCTTTAAGAAAAATATTGGGTTTTGAGCTAGGCACGGTAGCATACTGCTTTTTTTTTTTTTTTTTTTTTTTTTAAGGTTGGTTTTCATAACAAAGTCACTGATTTGGGCAAATTGAAGAATGCTTTGGGACCAATGCCACTTAAGAGTGCAGAGATTTTCTCATGACTATGGGTACTGACAGTGCATTTGAGAATTCATTAAAAATAAAAATATATATTATTATTATTATTATTATTTTTAATTTTATTATTTTTATTTTATGTGTATATGTGCATTGCCTGCATATAGGTAAGTGCACCCATGTCGTGCAGTGCCGGCAATCAGAAGAGGCTATCAGATCCCCTGGGCCTGGAGTTACGGACAGTTGTTAGCTGCCATGTGGGTGCTGGGAGTCGAACCTGGGTCTTCTGCAAGAACAACCAGTGTTCTTAACCGCTGAGCCATCTCCAGCCCCCCAAAAATATATATATTATTTAAAATTTTACTTTATGTGTATGAGTGTTTTGCCTGCATGTATGTAAGTGCATCTGTGCATGCAATGCCTGCAGAGACCAGAAGAGGATGTCGGATCCTTTGGAACTGGAGTTACAGACAGTTATTAGC